CTCTACCCCCACCCCTGTATCTTATGTTAGTTTCTTAACCTGTCTGGGTTGTTTCCCAATGGTCACGGATGCTTTTGTACCAGGTTACCGAGCATTTCTCTGCTCTGTCCTGACTCTGTGGTAATTCTCCTCGCTGTGTCCATGAGGTCGTGGTCATGCCTTTCCTCACACACTCTGGCACCAGACACGAGCACAGGGGTTCGGGGCTCCGGCGTGAGCCCTCACCACGTGCTTTTCCCTGAGTGAGGACTGAGGTGCTGGCAGTGAGGATGGGGGCGGCCGAGCTTCGTGGCTCAGAGGGAGGAAGACGGGACTAAACAACAGGGTTGCGACCTGACTGCACCACTTACCTACTGTGTGTCATGGACAGACTGTTTCATCTTTCATCCTCTCTTTTGTTTTTAGAACGAGCAGTAAATAATGGTACTTGGCAGGGTTCTTCCTGTGCTCAGATTTTAGGGGGACAAAAACTGACAAGTGTTGGCAAGGCCGTGGAGAAATTGGGACTTCTGTGCACTGGTGATAGGAATGTAAAATCATGTCGCTACTCTTATAATTTGTATCAGAGTTCCACACAAAAAATACAGCTACTGCATTACCCAGCAATCCCTCTTCTGGGAACATGTCCACAGGAATTAAAATCGGGGTCTTGAGGAGCTTTCTGCACTCCCGTGTTCATAGCAGCCTTATTCACAATAGCCACGATGTCAAAGCAACCTAAGTGTCTAGCAACATGAACTCATCAAGAGGATGCGGTCTATACTGATGATGAGATGTTATTCAGCCATTTAAAAAAAGCTAGATCCTGGAACATGTGACAATATGGGAGATACTTGGGGACACTTTGCTAAGTGAAAAGAGCCAGTCAGAGAACAGGAATGGTGCTTACCAGGAACTGGGGAGTGGGAAAGACATGAGCTGCTGTTCAAAGGGTACAATGTGTCTATTACGCAGGATGAAAGAGTTCTAGAGATTTGTTGTACAACACTGTACTGATAGATGACAATACTGTGCTAAACACTGAAATATTTGTTAAGAACTCATAGTATTATTTTTAATTTAATATTTTAATGGAATTTATTCAGTGACATTGCTTAATAAAATTCTGTACGTTTCAGGTATATAATTCTATAATACATCATCTATATATTGTATTGTGTGTTCGCTACCCCAAGGCATATCCCTATGTCTTTTTCCATCACCATGTATCTTCCCTTTACCCTCTCCAGCTTTCCTGTACCCTCATTTGCTTCAGGTAATGACCGTCCTGTTGTCTGTCTATAAGGTGTTTTCGTGGTTTTTTTTTTTTTTTGCTTAATCACTTTATCTTTTTCACCCATCCTTCCTACACCCTCTTCTCTGATAGCTATGAGTATATTTGCATTTTGCTTGTGAATTTATTTTGTTCATTAAATTCCACATGTAAGTGAAACCATGTGGTATTTGTTTTCCTCTGACTGACTTACTACACTTAGAATAATATTCTCCAGGTCCATCCATGCTGTCGCAAAGGTAAAATTTTCTTCTTTTTTATAGCTGAGTAGTATTCTAGTGTATAAATGTACCGTAGCTTTTTTATCCAGTCATCTACTACTGAGGGGCATCCCCAGCTGCTTCCAAATCTTGGCTATTGAAAATAATGCTTCAATAAACAGAGGGGTGCATATATTCTATTGAATTCGTGTTTTGGGTTTCTTAAAATAAATTCCCAGAAATAGAATCTTGGGTCATAAGGCAGTTCTATGTTTTATTTTTTGAGGTATCTCCATAGTATTTTCCACAGTGGTTACACCAATCTGCATTCCCACCAAAAGTGCACAAAGGTTCCCTTTCTCCACATCCTCATCAACATTTGTTGTTTGTTGATTTATTGACGACAGCCATTCTGACAGGAATGAGGTGATATCTCATTGTGGTTTTAATTTGCATTTCTCTGATGATTACTAAACTTGAGCATTTTTTCATAGGTCTATTGGCCATTTGGATGTCCTCTTTGGAGTAGTATCTATTCAGTTTCTTTGCAAATTTTTTAATTGGATTGTTAGTTGTTTTGGTGTTGAGTTTTATAAGTTTTTTGTAAATTTTGGATATTAACCCCTTATCAGTTGGCTGTCTTTTCATTTCATCGATGTTTTCCTTTGCTGTGCAAAAACTTTTAAGTTTGATATAGTCCCATTTGTTTATTTTTCTTTTGTCTCCCTTGCCCGGGGAGATTAGCAAAAAATATATTGCAAGAAGGAATGGCCAAGATATTACTCCTTATATTTTCTTCTAGGATTTTTGTGGCCTTGAGTCTAACATTTACGTCTTCAATCTATTTTGAGTTTATTCTTACGTACGGTGTAAAAATGTGGTCTAGTTTCATTTTTTGCATGTATCTCTCCACAATTTATTGAATACAATAAACAAGTGTATCCAACACAATTTATTGAATAGTCTATATTTACGCCATTGCATGTTCTTGCCTCCTTTGTCAAATATTAATTCACCATAAAGGCATGGGTTTATGCTTTTGCTCTCTATTCTGTTCCATTGAAGATCTTACATTACTTTTAAAAGTCACAATAACATAAATATTAAAAAGCAATGAGAAACAAAAGGAAACATTTTGTATGGGGATCAATGATAAGAACCATGGTTGCCTTGTCACTGCAAGCTAGGATGCATTGGAACATCATGAAAAGTGCTTCAGGGTAAAACATCTTTATAATTCCATATCTAGTGGACACATCCTTCAAAAGTTTAGGTAAAATAAAACCATTTTCAGATAAAAATAAACCAATAATATAATTTATCAGTAGAACCTGTAGTGTTTTATCTCTTCACTGTTCAGAAAATTCCAGTGTTGTAATGAGCACAGATGTCACATAAAAGTGCTTAGGTCAGCACCAGTCCTCTTGCTCTTGCTTTGTGCATGAGCTTGGAGAATTCTGAGGGTTTTTTTTCTACCACTGGTGCATCCTCAGTGTCTGTCTTCTCTGATAGTCACACCTGTGTTACACCAGTTCATGAGTGATGTGAGAATTTTGTTGTTTAGATTTATTGAGGTGTTAATAAATTAATGCTATTCTATTCTCAACTTCCTTTTTGAGGAAGACAATAAGTTCACTACCTTTGCTATATATTGGATAGCAATGCAAAATCCTGAACTCTTAGGACAGTGCAATGTCTTACAAGAGAATAATTGAGTGTGAAGTCATCCTCCTGAACATTTTCGAAGCTTTAATTTTCTGGAATTGCACAAAACATTAGTACACACATCCAATGTCAGCGGAAGGGTTATTTTCAATATGTTATATGCTTAATTAAAGTATATATAAAATGCCCTACATTTTGTTATAAGGATAATACCTCCTGTTAATAATAACATCCTCCTCACATAAAATAGAAAATTACACTGAAAAAAAGATCTCTCTACCCAGAGTAGTCTTATCTAATTCATGTTCTTATTACAACTTGAAACAAGTCAAGGATGTGAAAGTTTTTTTTCTTATCCATTTAGAAAAAAGTTGTATACGATATTTATAATTTTAATCTAGTTTATAGAATGTAAATGTTCTGTGTGATAAAATTTTACAAATTATGTAAATTTTGAAGATTTTTCCTGATTTCCCTTATAGTTAAACTATTTTTGCTATATAGACTCACAACAATTGTACAGTTTTTTGCATGTATATGTTTTCTTAATATCAAGATGTTAAATTGTCTTGCTATTGTAATATGACAAGGTACTTAAATTCTCTTTATTATTTTTTATTCTTTATTAATTTTAGAGAAAGAGGAAGGGAGAGGGAGAAAGATAGAAACATCGATGAGAGGGAACATCGACTGGCCACCTCCTGTATGCCCCCTACTGGGGATCGGGGCCACAGCCTGGGCATGTGCCCTGACAGGAATCAAACCAGTGACCTGTTGGTGCATGGGTCAATGCTCAACCACTGAGCCGCACCGGCTGGGCGGTACTTACATTCTTTTGTTCTGTATTCCAAGGACACACTCTAAATAAAGCTAAAAATGCAACTAGAAAGAAAAATAAATGGCACTACTTGAGTAGTGGGTCGCAGGTATTCTTTATTGATTATGAATATTTTTCTTACTAACCATATGCAGTAAAAGATATTGGTAAACCAGTGAAATAAACCACACAGAAAACTCGAATGCTACATGGTATCACTTATAAGTGGAATCTAAAAAGAAAAAAAAACTCAAACTCAAGGAAACAAGAGTAGAATGGTGGTTGCCAGGGTGGGATATGGAGCAAATAGAGGGAGGTTTGGGGGTTTGGGGACAGGGAACACACTTTCTGTTCTAAGATGAATATGTTCTGAGGATCTGATGGAGAGATCATGGTGCTATCGTCGATAACACTGTATTGTATCCTTGAAATTTGCTAAGAGAGTAGTTCATAAGCATTCTTACAAAAAATATAGGTAAGTATGTTAGGTGATGGATGTATTAATAAACTTAATTGTGGGAATTCTTTCACAACGTACTCATACGTCAAGTATCTCATTGCTCACTTCAAACATGTTACAACTTTGTATTTAAATGTCAGTAAAACTGGGGTGAGAAAAAGAAAAAGTAATGAAAAGAGAGGGGTGGAATTATACTATCCATAATACCACGTCTTGGCAAAACTGGCAAACTATGCCCTTGGCAACAATCCAGTGTGAGATAGGAGTCCAGCAGAGGCGTTAGGGCAGCATGCAGCTGAGTAAAGAGTATCACTGAGATCCAGACGTGCAGGAAAGAGGACAAGTCGGGGTTCAGCACAGGAGGGGCTGCGCATGCCAGCACTGCTGGACACAAAGGGAGATCCAGGAGTGATCTGGGAGCAGGGACTGTCTGTCCTGTTCACCATTCACACTGCTTCCCCAGAGCCCAAATAACATGAATTGCTTCTCTGCTGGTCATCATTTATTTTTCTCTCTCCATCCATTCACAAGTTCCTCCCGCTCTATGACAAACCTACCCAAAACTGTCTCGTATTCAGGACTGCTTCACAGAGGGACACATTGCCACTGGTTCCAGTCACAGGGCATGGGAATGAAATGCAGATTGTGACTGATTTTCTGCATGATATTGTTGGTTTGATTTATACTGATATATGTAGGAAAGCCAAGTTTCTCCAGAGCCTGTGTAGTGACTAACAAGAGATGGGGTGCGAGACCCTGGCCCCGGTACTCAGGCAGGGTGCACCCCATGCGCAACTCTCCTGTCTGTTCCAGCAGATTCCAGCACACAGGGGTCCCTTCTGGTCCCAGCAGACAGAAGGAGTGGAAGCTTTGGATACAGCGCTCAATGTACCTCTGGCTTCGCTCATTGCCACCAAAATGCCAGAATTTATTCACCAAGGCAGCGTGGGTAACATCAAGGGAGGAGAGTTTAAACAGCTCTTGGTTCCTGTTAGAAACAAGAGAGAACAACACATATATCACACCCACTGCGGAATAACAAATTTGTTTATCCCTAAATTATCTTTAGACAATGCAAATAAGAGCAGGGGAAGAGGTATAGACACTGTAGCCAAAAGGCCTGGTGCATAATCTCACGAGCTGTGTGACCTTGAGCAGGCAACATGCTGTCTCTCTGCCTTCATTTTCTTCCTTCATAAAATAGGGATAATAAGAGCATCCTTGCCAAGATACATATTATGAATATTATATGAGTTATTGCATAAGAATAAACCTTGTACCACACAAACAATAAGAATTACATAAAAATTAGTTTAATTAATAATTAAATTACCCACTGAAGATGGGATCATTGCTATTTCCCATGTTTTACGGATATGAAAAGCAGAGAAACGGAAAATAAACAAGTGCCCCGAAGCACATGCTCGTTAGCTGTATGTAGAACCAGAGCTGAGAGTCATGGACTCTTAGAATACGGGCGGCAGAGGGCCCCTGGCCACCGTGGGAAAGCTCAGGTTCAGAGAGGGGCAGTGATTGGAGTGTGGGCGGCCGGCGCCCGAGGAACAGAGCGCAGAAGTCTGAAGGCTTCAGCTGCGGGGTGAGGGGCTTGAGCAGGTGTCCTGGGACAGGCCCACATGTAGAACTAGAAGATGGAGACTCCAGCCCCAGTTATGCCTTGACCTTCACGTGACCTTAACAAGCTCTTTCTTCATCTGAGCCTATTTTCTGGCAGGAAAAGGGGAATATCTCCTATCTTGTCTATTTCATGAGATGGACAAAAATATCAAGTGAGATGATGGGTTTGAGAGTATCTTTCAGGTGGACTGTGTGATGCAATGTGAATGGAACTTTCCCCTGCACATGAACACACACAGGGCCAGGGGGTTGGGCGTCTCTATCAAGTCTCCAGCATCACGGCTCAGTTACATTCAGTGTTAGACGGGAAATCAATGGTGGGGTCAGAAAATAATAATTTGTGTAAATTCTTATTACTGGAAATATTTGCTATGTGAATTCATTACATGAGTATTTATCAAGCATCTAGTACATGTTCTGTTTGGGCTGTTGAGGCTGTATCAGTGAACAACCTTGAGAGGCCTCCAGCTCTTAGGAATTTAGAAATATCATAGGAGAAGATCAAACAACAAACAGGTATATAAATACACAAATAAGGTGATTTCAGATCATGAGGAGTGCCATAAAAAAATTAAAATTGGGTTTTGTGATGAAGAATTATATGAGAGTGTAGTTTTAGACACTATGCTCTGAAAAGGCTTTCTAAGGAGATGACATTTGAGAGTATGAATATCAAGAAACAGACAAATATGTGAAGATCAGAGGGACTGGCAGCTAGGTAGACAAAGAACAAATGCAATGGCTCAAATACATGTGAGAATATACGAGATCAAGTTGCAGAAAGTTGATCTGAGCCACCGATGGCAGTAAGCAAGACAGACAGGATGATGTCCAAGAGGTGATGAATGCTAGGTCTTACAAGGCTTTGAAGGTCCATAAAGGGCTTTAGCTTTTGTTCAAGGTGAGCTGAGAAACACGAATTGCTTTAAATGGGTGAACTCACATGATCCATGTTACAAACAAAAGAATCACCCTGGCCTGGCCGGTGTGGCTCAGTGGATGAGCATTGACCCAGGCACCTTCAATTCCCGGTCAGCGCGCATGCTCAGGTGTTTGGCCTGATTGGCAGTGGGGGGCACACAGGAGGTGGCCAATCAATGTTCTCTCTCATCGATGTTCCTATCTCTCACTCTCCCTCTCTCTCTAAAATCAATAAACAGATGTTTTAAAAAAGAAAGAAAGAATCATGCTGGAAATGGATTGTAGGGAGGCAAGAGTGAATGTAGGAAGGCAAGGAGTGAAAGATGTGAGAAGTGAGAGCATCTTTTTTCAAACTCACATGGCTTTGGGTCTGCCGATTTCAAGAGGTATATTGTTTGCCTCTGGCAGTGAAGGGAGCAGTCTTCTTGCTGTCTTAGGCATCATATAGAGGAAGCATTGTGTTTGCTTGACCTTGACCTGTTTAATGGCTGCAAGATTTTGTATTACCTCGTCCAGGCTGAATTGTGAACCTAGAAAGGAGTAAAGTAAAAAGAAAAGTGAGAAGCTACAACAAGCTTCCCAAAGGAATTTTGCAGGATTAAAAGTCAGGCTATGTTGCTTCTGGTGTTGCCAATGACCATGTGACCTTGGCCATGTCACTGCCTGAGCATGTTTTCTCTTATGCAAAACAGAGGTTTTACTAGAAATCCTGAATCTATTACTGTGAAATCAAAGGAAAAGTGATATTTAAAAACAGTAGTCAACCTTGCATGGGCACAAACACCATGCCCAGGTATTGGTCTAATATCACATGTGATCCTACATTGACCCTATGTTTTACATACTTTTATTATCCCCATTTTTTATAGGCAAGGAAACTGAATAGTGGATAAGTTACATCACTTGCTCAAGATCACAAAGCAAGTAACCTGAAGAGGAAGGATGCCACTAGGGAGTCTCACTCTGGAGGGCATGCTCATAACCAGGGCAGTTGTCCTTGTGCCCTGGAGGTGCGTTAGGGCACAAGGAACTCTCATCCTTATTTTAGAAATGGGAGGCCATGGGGATTGGGGGGGGGGGGAGCTCTACTCTTACACCTAATCATCCTGAAGAAGTCTGAAGGGGACTGCAAAACATATCCTCAGCCAACAAGAAATTGCCTTACTCGCAGTTCCTTGTTCTCACTCCATGATTTGCAATGTTTGAATTCTACTCCTCTGAAGAAAGAGGTAGTGGCAGCATATCACACACATGTGATATGCTATACAAGGAATGAACATCAAGTTGAGTGTCTGGGGTTTGGTAGAAGGAAGAAAAAGCAGTAGGGGAATGTGTTCTGATGAAAAGGGACCAGGCAGATATAGACATCAGCTGTCCCAGCAACCAACACACATCCCAGATTTGTTACTTACTTTGGATCAGTAAATGCTGTTTCCAATTGATGACGTGTGATGTGCCAAGGAATTCTCGACAGTTCTTGGGGTCCTTGGAATAGATTTGGTAGGTGTTGGCGTAGTAATCAAAGTCATCTGTCATCTCCTGTTTGGTTGAGTAATGTGGGATAAATCAAATTGATTATACCAAATGACTGGAGTATGTGACTTTAAAAATTTCACTATACTTTACTATTTTAAAACTTAAATATTTAGATATTTCTTAACATACTATCATTATCTCTGACCCATTTACATCATGAGACCATGTCATGGTTTTACTCAACTACTCAATTGGTGATGAAGAAAAGCTTGCTAAACCAATTATTTATATTTTGTTTTACACTTTCAAATCAACCAAAAATGCACCTGTTTAGAAAGCATTCTTCTGTAATTCTGGAATCCTCAGGAGAAAGAAAGAAGGTATTCTTGCCTGGACAGTGTGGCTCAGTGGTTGAGCATTGACCCATGCACCAAGAGGTCACCAGTTCGATTGCGGTAAGGGCACATACCCAGTTTGTGGGCCAAATCCCCAGTGGGGCATGCAGGAGGCGGCCGATCAATGTTCTCTCTCATCGATATTTCTATCTCTCTCTTCCTCTCTCTCTAAAATCAATAAAGAAAAAATTTTTTTTTAAAGAAAAAGAAAGAAGGTATTCTTATCAAAGGCAAGCTCCCATTGCGAGAATAAATCTATTTCAAAGTCTCATAACAAATGGATTATGAGCATGACAATATTGAAATTGACACAGGTATCCTTATATTCGAATTTTCACACAAATACGATATACTATACAAAATGAAGACACTTAATACCTTTGAAATGTAAACCACAATGCACTGTTATTTTAGAATAATTTGCAATTCAACAAAATTGAAATACAAAATTTATTCAAGAATATCTTCTCAAAGTTAATATAAAAGATGGGATTATTGGAAAACGAAGGAAGGAGTTAGAGAACAACCCAACAAGGGTAGAATTCAGAAAAGTATTGCACAGAACTAAACTAAACTCAGTTTTAATATCACTGACAATCTTTTAAGATCAATTCAAAGAGCAAAAATTTTTGACCAGCTGGTGTTGCTCAGTGGTTGAGTGTCAGCCTATGCACCAAGAGGTTGCAGGTTCGATTCTTGGTCAGGGCACATGCCCAGGTTGTAGGCCAGATCCCCAGTAGGGGGCATGCATGAGGTGGCCGATTTATGTTCTTTCTCATCGATGTTTCTATCTCTTTCCCTCTCCCTCTAAAATCAATAAAGAAAAATTTTTTTTAAAAAAAGCAAGAATGTTTTTATTTTTAAATTTCAATAATTAAGTTAAATATCCTTATTTTGTATTCTGTTTGGTTTCGTTATTTTCTAAAAAGCACTACAGCTCTGGCTGGTTTGGCTCAGCAGTTAGAGCATTGACTTGCGGTCGGGGAGATCGGGGTTTGGTTCCCACTAAGGGCACGTACCTCAGCTGCAGTTTGTCCCCGGCCCTGGCTGGGTTGTGCGGGAGGCAGCCACCTGATATATCCTTTCATGTAGATGTTTCTCTCTCTCTCTCTCTCTCTCTCTCTCTCTCTCTCTCTCTTTATCTCTCTCCCTCCCACTCAATCTGAACAAAAAATGGAAAAATGTCCTCGGGTGAGGATAAAAATAAAATAAATAAATAAATAAATAAATGAAAAATAAAAAGCACTATACATTAAAATTTTATTTTTAAATATTTTATATTAAAATGATATCATAGCCCTGGCTGGTTTGGCTCAGCAGTTAGAGTGTCGACCTGGGACCAATGAGTCACAGGTTCGATTCCAGTCAAGGGCATGTGCCTTGGTTGGGGTTTGTCCCCTGCCCTGGTCAGAGTCTTGTGGGAGGCAACCAATCAATGTGTCTCTTTTATGTCGATTTTTCTCTCTCTCTCCCTTTCTCTCCTTCCCACTCTATCTGAAGATAAACAGAAAAATATCCTTGAGTGAGAATTTTTAAAATGATGTTATATGTCTACATATTATTACATGCATAACTTTTTGCTTTATATTGTCCAATATGCTTATATGCTTATAACATACTTGTATTTGAAAAGTATGAACCACTTAGCTTGGGTAATTTTACTTTTTTTAATCTTATTTTTTATTGACAGTTTACATTCAATGTTACTTTGTATCAATTTCAGGTGTACAACATAGTGGTTAGACAGTCATATACTTTACAGTGGTCCTCTGATAATTTCAGTACCCACCTGGCAACAGACATAGTTACTACAATATTATTGACTATATTCTCTATGCTGTACTTTAGATCCTGGTGAATATTTTGCGAGTACTAATCTGTACTTTTCAATTCCTTCATCTTTTCACCCAGTCCCTACTCGTCCCTCACCTTTGGCAATCATCAGTCTGTTCTCTGTATCTAAGAGTCTGTTTCTATATTGTCTATTTATCTGTTTTTCTCTTTAGATTCCACATGTAAGTGAAATCATTGGTATTTGTCTTTCTCTGAGTGACTTATTTTACTTAGCATAGTACCCTCTAGGTCCACCCATGCTGTCACAGATAGTAAGAGTTCATTCTTTTTTTTTCATTTTAAACTTTTTTTTTTTTTTGTCTTTTTTGTTGTTGTTGCAATTTTTATTAATTAATATTTGTTACAGATGTTTTTCTCCCCCCGCCCTTAAAGGTAAGATTTCATTCTTTCTTATGGCTGAGAAATATTCTATTGTATATATGTACCACCACTTTTATATCCACTCATCTGTTGATGGGCACTTAGATTGATTCCATAGCTTGGCTATTGTAAATAACACTGCAATAAATATAGGGGTGCATATATATTGTGTCAAATTAGTATTTTGAGTTTCTTAGGATATATGCCCAGAAATGGAATTGCTGAGCTATGAGGCAGTTCCATTTTTAATTATTTGAAGAAATTCCGTACGGTTTTCCATAATGGCTGCACCAATTTGCATTCCCACCAAAGGGTTATCTTTACTCCACATACTCACCAACACTTGTTATTTGTTGATTTATTGATAATATATATTCTGACAGGTGTGAGGTGATATGTTACTGTAGTTATAACTTGCATTTCTCTGATGATTAGTCACGTTGAGCAGTTTTTTATATGCCTATTGATAATCTGTATGTTCTCTTTGGAGAAGTGTCTATTCAGGTCCTCAGCCCATTTTTCAATTGGATTGTTCTTTGTGTGTGTGTGTGTATGGAGTTTTTAAAGTTCGTTATAAATTTTGGACATTAGCCCAGCCGGTGTGGTTCAGTGGTTGAGTGTTGACTCATGCACCAAGAGGTCGCCAGTTCAATTCTGGGTCAGGGCACATGCCCAGGTTGTGGGCCCAATCTCCAGTGGGGGGCATGCAGGAGGCAGCTGATCGATGTTCTCTCTCATCTATGTTTCTATTTCTTTCTCCTTCTCCCTTCTTCTTTCTCTCAAATCAATAAAGAAAAAAAATTTAGGACATCAACCCTTTATCAGATGTATCATTAGCAAATATGTTCTTCCATTAAGTAACTTGTCTTCTAGTTTAGTTGGTGGTTTTCTTTGCTGTGCAGGAAGTTTTTGTTTGATTTAGTCCCATTTGTATATTTTTTCTTTTGTTTTACTTGCCCAAGGAGGTATATTAAAGAAGTATTGTTAAGAGAAATGTCAGAGACTTTGCTGCCTATGTTTTCTTCTAGGAGTTTCATCATTTTGAGTCTTAGATTTGTCTTTAATACATTTTGAGTTAATTCACATATATGGTATAAGAAGATGGTCTAATTTTATTTTTATTTATTTTTTGCATGTATCTGTCTAATTTTCCCAATACCATTTACTGAATAGACTGTCTTTATTCCATTGTATGCTCTTGGCTCCTTTGTCACATATGAATTGACCACAGAGGCATGGGTTTATTTCTGGCCTCTGTTCTGTTCCATTGATCCATGCCAGCACCATGCTGTTTTTGTTTTCATTGTATTTATTATTTATTTTTAATCCTCATCCAAGGATATTTTTAAAAATTTTTAGAGAGAGAGAGAGAGAGAGAGTTCTAGTAGGGTATTTTTGTTGTTGTTGTTGTTGCTGTTTTTTTCTGTGAAATCTTTAGTTTTTTCTATATAAAGTATAACATTATCTGCAAATAATGACAATTTTACTTCTTTTCCAATTTGGATGCCATTTATTTCTCCTTTTTGCCTGATTGCTGTGGCTAGGAGTTCCAATGCTCTGTTGACTAAGAGTGGTGAAAGTGGACATTTCTGTCCTGTTTCTGATCTTAAGGGAAAGGCTTTCGGCTTCTCCCTGTTTAGTATGATATCAGCTGTGGGTTGGTCATAGATGAGTTTGAGCGATTTTTAAAAGTCTGGTACTTAAAATACACTCCCAAATGCAAGCATTGGAATCTGTTCTTTATATTTTTCAAACATTGTTCATATCTAACTTTCCATATTTTTAGGTGTTATTTTCTGTGCTTAAAATGCACCCTCTGCTCTTGTCAGAGTGTCAAAAACCTATTTACCTTCAAAATTCAGTGTGGCTGAAATGTTAACCAGGAAAGCCCTCTGATCCTCTCCCTGCACACCGTGACATCTGTAGCTTTAATCATATCCTGGCCAGTGCTACTTCTGTTGCTTGTAGGTTCTTGAATGTTTTCATGCATTTTCATACCGTGTTGTAATTTACTTGCTCATCTACCTTTTCCTCCAGGCTGTGAGCTCCTTGAGGACAAGGACTTGTTCACCATCACTGAGATTTACTTCTGTGTCCCCTGGGTCTACACTGCCAGATACAAGGTAGGCACATATAGCAAATAGAAAGGTATGCATTCCACACCTGGCACCTTACCTGCTCCTGGGGACGGACAACCACTGTGTTAAAATCAGGCCACTTATCCACCAGGGCCTTTAGCTTGAACGGGTTTCCCTGGTTCATGTGGAAGACGGTCCCATACACCTGTAGCATCCCGAGAAAGTGAGAAGGTCAACTTATTAGGAAGGGATGTCCAAGTGCCCTGTTTGATCAGGATAAAATTATTTCTATGAAATCAGGGTGACTGGTAGGGCACGTATTTCAAAGAGTCTTTCATTCCTACTTTATTACTTCAGTGGAAATAGATTTTGGGGTTAAACCATGCGAATATTATATAAATATAGTCAAATATCCAGGTCTATAAAATAAATAAATAAAAATCATTTACTATCACATTGTAGAGTTTAGTAACATATCTTTCCATTTCACTCCACTTATTTACATAGTCACACAATTTTTAAATGATAAATTATCTAATATATATTTGTTCAACATCTTTCCCCCTCCACACACACATACACACATATACACACAATACAAAGGTCATATTTTATTTTATTTTTTAATCCTCACTCAAGGATATGTTATTTTTTTAATTTTAGAGGGACAGAAAGGGAGAGAGAGAGGGAGAGAGAGAAATATTGATAGGCTGCCTCCCATATGCACCCAACTGGAGATCGAACCCAAAACCTGGGTATATGCCCTGGTGGGGTATTGACCCAAAACTTTTGGTGTATGAGACAATGCTCCAGTCAACTGAGCCACCCAGCCAGGGTATAGTGGTCATATTTTTGTAGTGTAGTGATTCTTCCTCAAGGGTACCCATTCTTCCCTTCATTCAAGTGCTCTGGGCCTGTAATCCCTGTAATCTGGCTCAAGTATGGGAATTAACTGAGAGGCAGTGATTCTCTGTTTGTATGAGTCAAGTAAGACCTTCAAGTCTGTGTCAAGTATTGGTGTAATTGCTGATACTTAGTAACTGTACAAGAAGTATTTGATATTGCCCTGGTCGGTTTGGCTCAGCAGTTGGAGTATCAGCCAGTGGGCTAGAGAGTCCCGGGTTCAGTTCCTGCTAAGGGCTGAACAAGTACCTCAGTTGCAGTTTGTCCCCGGCCCTGGTTGAGGTTGTGTGGGTGGCAGCCAGTCATTGTGTTGCTTTCACATCGATGTTTCTCTCTTTCTTCCTCCCTCTCTCCCTCCTGCTGTATCTGAAGATAAATGCAAAAATATCCTCAGGTGAGGATAAAAAAAAACAAAAGTGTTTGATATTAATCTTATCACATCATTTTATTTGCTAACGAAGATAAATGCAAAAATATCCTCAGGTGATGATAAAAAAACAAAACAAAAGTGTTTGATATTAATCTTATCACATCATTTTATTTGCTAACCCTGATAAAGGTTGAGAAACGTCTTTCCCCACACTACTTTTGCTCTGTTTAAGGTGAAAACTTAAAGCATGGATTTGAGACCATTGTTCTTTTATAGTATAAGCACTTAATAATATATATTTCCCACTTATCATTGCTTTAGTTCATCCCAAAGCTTTTCATATGTTGTACTTCCATTTTCATTCAACTAAAATGTTTTCTAATTTGTGTGTCATTTTCAAGCATGGTCTATTTGGAAGAGTGTTGTATACTTTCTAAATATGTGGGTATTTTCCAGATACTTCTCAAGTTTTTTAAAATTTGAAGTTTAATTCCATATTGTCTAAGGACATATTTGATATTATTTCAATTTTTAAAAAAATTAAAATTATGATCTATCTTGGTAAATCGATCAATGTGCATTTAAAAATAATACGTAATCTGCTGTTGTTGAGGAAAGTATTATATATTATCCATTGGTTCAAGTTGGCTCATAGTATTGCTCAGCTCTTCTATGTCCTTACAGGTTTATGCCTATTCTTTAAATTATTGAAAGAGGAGTGTTGAAGTCTTTAATTATATCTGTAGTTTATCTATTTCTTCTTTCATTTTCATCAGTTTTTACTTCATGTATTTTGTGTATACATTTTAGTTTTTTTTTTTTTTTTGGTCTTTTTGGTGAATTGATATCTTGATCATAATGCAATGCCATATTTTATCCCTGGTAATATTGTACTCTCTTTGCAACATATGTTATTGCAAAACAAACAAACAAAACAAAATTGAAAAACAAACAAACAAAAACTCTATGGTACAAGATCATTGATCCATTTCTGAAACTAAATTTCTGTCTCATCCCAAATTAAATACAATTTATTGGGGTTTGACAGAATAGAAATTGAACTGTTAGTAATTTCAAAGTAGAATCATAATGGTTAACCTTTCATCAGTCACTTGATTGTTTAGAAAGAATAATTTAAATATTAATGTGTTAGTTTCAGTCAGCTTTGCAATTCTGAGAAACTTCCATTGTTGTCTGACATAATTCTTAGAAGGGCACAACGGACCAGTTTTGGGTCATCACACAGCAACGATGACAATGGGTTCAAATCATAGCATTGCCACTCACTACTGGAGTGATCACTGGAAGATCAGACAACTGAGCTTCCAGTTCCTCTTTGGTTACCTGGATACAATACTCCTGCCTTGCAGTGAGATGATACTAACTAAATGAGATGCAAGATGAGTGAGTGCCTGGCACAGAACAGGTGTTCAGGAGAGAGAATGCTAATTCTCTCTCCCACCTTTTTCACAGGCACTTGCTAGTCCTTTTTTCCCCTAAGAAGGTTACAATCTCACCTTTATGGACTCAGGGAGGAACTTCCTCAAAGATTTCTCTAGCATCTGCAGCATTTGTGGACCTTGTAATTGGAACATCTTGGAAGGTACCTGAGCCTAAAGAGGGAATCAAGAAGCATCAAGAAATGAGAAGTTCTGGAAGACATACAGTGACACAAAACAGACTCAGTAGGGAGTTGTGGCTAATGTGGCCTTTGTCCCAACCCCAGTCACGAAACTCCTTACTAACTCCAAGGAAGGATGAGTCTGGCAGAAAGCACAGGTGTCTCTTTCTGAAGTTATTTTTAATATTTTATAAACTTTAAAAAATATTTCTCAAATTTTCAATTTGATTTTTACATCATCCAGAGTTCCAATAACTAGGGTTTTATAGGGATTAACAAATGTATTCTTTAAGCATGAATGAGCATTCTTTGAGATTAAGTTTCCATTTGTGACAAACCTGGCTTTGACAGTTAGAAGCTACATGACATTGGAAAAGTTACTGAACTCCTCCGTGCCCTGGTTTTCTCCTCTATAAATGACAATGACCATGGTACCTGTCCCATAGCGTAGTTGAACAATTAAATAAACCAATGCATGTAAGGTTCATAGAAGAGTGTCTGGAACACAGTAAGTGCTCGATAAATGATTATAATCATTATTAACCTTTTTATTATTATCATTAGTAGAAGCAACAGTTAACCACACTGTCATCCAAAAAGTCCATTGGGTGATTCTTCTTATGCACAAGAATTTGTGGTGAGGATTAAATGGGGGAGAATCCATGGAATCTGGCACATAGTAAATGAATAATTGTATGTCTTTACAGAGTGCCTGGTGTGGAGTAATACTCAGTACATTCCAGCCATTGGTATTATTGTTATCCCTTTAACTTAAGTAAAGGACATCTTTTCTTGCTTCTAGCCAAAAATAGCCCTGGCCATTGAAGCTCAGTGGTTAGAGAGTTGCCATGCACAGAAGAGACTTGGGTTCCATAACTGGTCAAGGACAGGTACCAGGATTGCAGGTTCAATCCCCAGCCCCAGTCAGGGGTGTGTACAGGAGGCAAAATATGTCTGTCTCAGATCTACATTTCTCTCTCACTTTCTCTCTCTCCCCCTCCCCTTCTTTCCCCCTCTCTCCCCTTCACCGCGTTCCTTCAACTCTCTTTAAAAAAGTCAATGAAATAATATCCTCAAGTTAGAATTAATAGAAAAGAAAAGAAAAGAAAAGGAAAAATGTCTTTTTCTATGAGCCCTTGTGTAGGATACAAATAAGTGATGTAGTGAAACATTTTCCACACTTGACACTGTGTTAGACCTGCTGAAATATATTTGAGGTTATTTAATTTTCCTTCTGGTATGTATTTTTAAAAAGCTCTCTAGACTTTTTTTTATTATTATTGTTCAGCTAAATTAACTTATAATTTACATACAATTTATTAACATTAAGTGGACTTTTGATGAGTTATGAAAAATAACGTATTTCTCTAACTAGCACCATTATGATATAATGGAAGATTTAAATACCCCCCCCCCCCAAATAAATGGAACGATTTAGGGCATATCTTTTTTGAGACTATAGTTCTTTTGAAAGCAAAACGCCTTTGAGACTAGTTCAAATTGTTGCATATATCAACACTTGAATTCTTTTTATTGCTGAATAATATTCCATTGCAAGGGTCTACCAGAGTTTGCTTACCTAGTCACCTGTTGAAATACATTTGGGTTGTTTCTAGTGTTTGATGATTATGACTACAGCTGCTGTGAACATTTATGTACAAATATTTGAACACTTGGGGGCCAGGGAACTCGGAGGTGGGAAGTTGCTGCTAAAGCCTCCGCTGCGACCCCGCCGGAGTCCTGCGAACTCTGCTGCCTGCTAAGCCCTCGGATGGTGCTGCACGGGCTGGCACAGACTGGCTCCAACCAGGGGACTCAACTGGACACTGCTACCCAGGCTGACTCCTGTGAACTCTGTGTGCTAAGCCCTCGGCTGGTGCCGCACAGACTCGCGGGGACCAGGGGACTCTGCTGGAAACTGCTGCCACCCCGGCAGTGTCCCGCTACCGCGGCTCAGTCCTGGGGCTTCTGCTGAGTGCAAAACCCTCTGCTGGTACCACAGCTGTGGCCGCCCTTGGCAGGAAGCAGCGCTCTCGGGTTAAAAGTCCCAGGCAGCTCCACGACGCAGAGTCTAGACAGAGGCTAAATTGGCAGCAGCCACTCACCTTGAGCTTCAGCAGAGGGAAGGCAGACTGGACTGGAACTGTGTGGGGACACTCGGGGCTTGGAGGGTGCTAAGAGCTTTAGCTGAGCGCAGCCATGGAGGACTGTGGTCATTTTACTCCTTCTCAGGGCCCTGGGGAGAGGCGAGGCGGAGGCCCCTCCCTCAGAGATTCAATCCCACCTGGTGGCCATTGAAATGCTAATTGAGGCCCATTAACAACCAGCACCTGCCCCAACCTCTTACACTGAGCACCTGAGCACCTGAGGGAGTTTTTCAGGCAACTCAGAAACCAAGGGTCTTCAGGTAACCTCTACTAATAGCCTCCAGGCAAAAAAAAAAAAAAAAAGCTAGAGGATAACTACCATTCCCTGGGCCAGCAACACTAACCAGAAAAACTAAGACTTGAAGGTGGTGTTTAAAGAGGGTCCTCCCTGGCTCATCCAAACCCAGGAGAGGGAACCACAAACAGCAGAACACCAACACCCACAGGGAAAATTTGGCAGACTCCAAAGCCCACTGTGATAGCCAAAATGGTGAAAAACAGAAACAAAAGCCAAGTGAAAGAACATGAGACCTCTACAGAAGATGAGATAAATGAGGTGCAGTTAAGCAAGTTAACAGAACTAGAATTCAGAGCCATGAGGTTGCGGAAGCTCAACAGCATGTGTAAGGATATGAGCACCATGAGTAAAGACATAGAAATGTTGAAAATCAACCAGATGAAAATTAAAAACCAACAGGAGGAAATGAAGAATGACATATCAGAAATGAAAAACACATTGGAAGGTCTAAAAAGCAAAGTAGGGGAAGCTGAGGACCAGATCAGTGAATTAGAAGACAGGCTAGAAAAAATCAACCAATCAGAAAACCAAAAGGAAAAATGATTAAAAAACAGGAAGACAGCTTAAGAGAACTGTGGGACAACTGGAAACGGAATAATATTCGAATCATAGGAGTCCCTGAAGAAGAAGAAAATAAGCAAGGGTTAGAGAATATATTCAAAGAAATAGTGACAGAAAACTTCCCTAATTTGGTGAAGGAAGGAGGCATTCAAGTTCAAGAAGCACAGAGAGCCCCAAGTAAGAAGAACCCAAACAGGCCCACACCAAGACACATAGTAATCAAACTGCCAAAAATTAAAGACAAAGAGAGAATCCTAAAAGCAGCAAGAGATAAGCAACAGGTTACCTACAAAGGAAACTCCATAAGGCTCTCAGCTGACTTCTCACAAGAAACACTACAGGCAAGAAGGGAATGGCATGAAGTAATCAAAGTCATGAAAAACAAAGATCTGAATCCAAGACTACTCTACCCAGCAAGGCTATCATTCAAAATAGAAGGTCAAATAAAGAGCTTCCCAGACAAAAAAAGGCTAAGGGAATACACTAGCACCAAACCAGCACTGCAAGAAATGTTAAAAGGACTGCTGTAACTAGCAGTAGAAATGGGAAGAAAAATAGAACCACACTAAACAAAAATGGCAATAAATAAGTACATATCAATAATCACCTTAAATGTAAATGGACTGAATGCTCCCATAAAAAGACACAGAGTAGCTGATTGGATAAGAAAGCATGACTCATCTATATGTTGTTTACAAGAGACCCACCTCACAACAAAAGACTCACATAGATTGAAAGTGAAGGGATGGGAAAAAATCTTCCAAGCAAACGGAAAAAAAAAAGCTGGGGTAGCAATACTCATATCTGATAAAATAGATTTCAGAATGAAGGCCATAATTAGAGACAAAGAAGGGCACTACATAATATTGAAAGGATCTATCCAACAGGAAGATATAACCTTGATTAACATATATGCATCCAATATAGGAGCACCAAAATATATTAAAAAACTTCTGGAGGACTTCAAAGGAGAAATCGATAGCAATACAATCATAGCAGGGGACTTCAACACCCCACTGACATCACTGGATAGACCCTCTAGACAAAAAATTAGCAAGGAAACACAGACTCTAAATGAAGCACTAGACCAAATGGATTTAATAGATATCTACAGAGAACTACACCCAAAAACTACAGAATACACATTCTTCTCAAGTGCAAATGGGACATTCTCAAAGATAGACCACATGTTAAGGCACAAACTAAGTCTCTACAAGTTCAAGAAGATTAAAATTATATCAAGCATCTTCTCAGATCACAATGGCATGAAACTAGAAATCAATTGCAAGAAGAACATACAAAAACATTTGAACACATGGAAGCTAAATAGCATGTTATTGAACAATGAATGGGTCACCGAGGAGATCAAGGAAGAAATCAAAAACTTCCTGGAAACCAATGAAAATAAAGACACAACAACACAAAATCTATGGGATGCAGCAAAAGCAGTTCTGAGAGGGAAGTTCATAGCACTACAGGCCTACCTCAAAAAAGAAGAAAAATCTCTAATAGACTATCTAACCTCACAACTTAAAGAACTAGAGAGCAAACAAAAAGAAAACACCAGAGCAAGTAGAAGGAAGGAATTAGTAAAGATCAGAGCAGAAATAAATGACATAGAGACCAAAAAAAAAAAAAAAAAAATTTCAAAGGATCATTAAAACAAAGAGCTGGTTTTTTGAAAAGATAAACCAGATTGATGGACCCTTAGCTAGACTCACCAAGAAACAAAGAGAGAGAACCCAAATACACAGAATCAGAAATGAACACTTGCTTTTATTCCTCATAGATAAATGTGTAGAAGTGCACTTGCGTGGCCACATAGTAAGTGTATATTGAGATTCATGAGAAACAGCCAAAGTTTTTACCCAAAGTGGCTGCACTAGTTTCTGTCCCATCGCAGTGGAGGAGCGTTCCATGTGCTCCACATCCTCCCAGCCTTCTCCAGGACATTCTCTCCTGCAGCCA